GGTTTTAATGTGCATGGTTATTTTTAGCTCCTGTCAGAAAGAGCTGCTACAGAGAGACACTGTCTCCAAACCACTAGTTGCTGGTCCTTGTGAAAAGTGATGTGTTGAGATGGGAGGCAGAAAAACTAGGTGATGTGGATGGAAGAACTCAAGGGTAGAGCTCTCTAGATCCTGCTGTGTTTGGGAGCAACTCTCCATACGTGTCTTGTAGTTGGATTTCAAGATGGTGATCAGAACTTTGAAAGATTTTACACTGAGTATGTTCAGCTTGGGAAGGCAGGGAGGTAAAGTGGTACTGTGACCCATGGGCTCGGGTCTTAAGCTTTTAAAAGGCTGACTTCGTTCCCCAAGAAGAATTTGTTCTGTAGTTTCCTGTAGCTGCTCCTTCCAGACTATGTGACCCTGGTGTACCCCATTGCATGGAAGAGTGACTGGCATTTGATGAGCAGTTGATAAACATGTGTTGAATGAGCGAGTGAATGAATTCATCACAGAAAGGGCGACTTAGTTAACGATGAGGCAACAGGATCAGCTTCTAGTCTTGTCACGTTAACTGATCTCCTTGTGTAATCACTTGATAGCACTTCATGTAGTAGCCACAAAATCGTGTTTAGGTAAATGGCCTTGGAAGTACTGCACAGTTCCCTAGATACTTGTTCATGGGAAACTTAATTTGAAAAGATTTTAATGAGTGTATTGTCATTTTTAGGTCTGCTGCTTGGGAAATATCAGTCTGTTTTTTGTGCTTTAGCATGGCCCCTCCATAAGACCCATTTCATGGCCCTAGACCCTACACATCCCCCATCCATCCATCCATCCATCCTCTCTGGGAGGAGTGAGAGATGGCTGATTGAAGTTCAGCCCCCTGGGACCCCTGTTTCAAGGACCTTGCTATTCATTCCAGCCCTCATAATTTCATCAGACTGTTTTTAGACTCAGTAAGGGCCACTGGGAATTCCCTCTTCCAGCAGAAGAGACCAAAGAGTGTACTTGTTCGGGAGGTGAGTGGGGGAAGTGTTTATAGGTGAGTAAAAATGGTACATACTACCCTCCAGACTCTGCTGTCTGCCACCTCCATGTCCAGCCCAAGTGGGGGTCTACCAGTAGGAGGAGCCCATCTTATATTGGCAGAGGGACCCACCACCCCTAGAAAGGTTATTTTCCCAGCCACCACCTTGAGCTCCTTCTAAATTAAGAGCCATTTTAGAAAGACATCAGAAAAATAAAATTTGGAATGACCTAGACAAAGACATTGGCTAACCCCCCTCATTTTACATTTGTGGAACTGTGCTTTTTTGAATTCAGACCCTGGGAGTGTTAAAATTATGTACCTGGATGGTAAACCCTGAACCCAAAGACCCAGATGGGGAGTAGGTTGGATTTGGGGTCAGTTGAGTTTTGGTGGCCCTGTATATTCAGGGGACCATGGCCAGGCCTGATTAGCAGCCATGGGGGGAAGTTGAGGGTGGCCATATGGATTGGGGGAGATTATGAATTGCTTTAAGGTTGCAATTAGTGGTGCATCTGGGACTAGAAGTCTCTTGCTTCCTCGCAGTCCAGTTGTTTCTGCCATATCCTGCTGCTAAAGCTTTACTCTGACTAGTTCTTTCCCGCTAGGAAACCCGCTAATGAAGCCTTGGCACCGTGCTAATAGGTGTTGCATGGGGCCAGTAGCACTGGATAGTAATTGGAAAAAATACCTGCAGAGAATGGATTGTTATAGGCAAGGAGGAAGAGTGCCAGAATTGTGATTTTTTTTTTTTTTTACTTTGTATTTGTTGCCTAACAACTGCCAAAAGATCAATGTTAAAGAAAACTTGGGAAATAAACCATCCATCGTGTCTCCATGCTATCGCAACTGTTGTAATTTTTGCACTCTCCTGTTTTTATCAAGTAGTCCATGTGCAGTAAATACATAGATTTATGTAGCTGGAATCACAGTTTTCTGTTCCCTTGTGCTCTGTTTATTGAACATTCGTCATAAGGATTTTGCATAGTTCTGTCTGATCGTCATCATTCTCTTTTGTAACAGCCAAATAGTATTCTTACATGCTGGTGGGCCCCAGTACTATGTTCTGCAATTGGAATTTTGATTGTTTCTCCTTTTTGCCCGCCCCCAATCCCGCCCTATTTCTCCACTAGATTCATTTACAGAGAATGTCATTGCATGTCGAGCCTCCTGGAATCTTATGTTGAATTGTTGCTTTCAGAGGAGTATTTCCAGGAAGGAAGGAGACTTTAATTCATTGATGAAATTTTTATTTTATTTTTTTAAAATTTTTTGTTATTGTTGTTATTTATATAACACAAATAGAGACGTACAAAGGAAACAAAGGTACAGTTTAATGAACTACTAGAAAGTAGACAGACACCCTGGTACCATCACCCACATCAAAAGCTGGAACCCTGCCAGCCAGCCGGAAGTCCACGGTTGTTGCCTCCTCCCAGCCCCATGCCCCACCCCAAGAGCAGCACCTTCCCTGACTTTATTGTAATCACTTCTTTACTGTCTTTCTAAGATTGCTCACCCAAGTGTGCATCCTTGGATACTGCAAGTTAAGCTTGGCTGTTTACAAATATCTTTTAAATCTCTTTCAATCTGTACGTGTCCTCTCTATCTCTTCTCTCCCCTATATTCTGTTTGTTGAGGAAACTGGGTCATTCGTCCTGAGGAGTTTCTAGAATTTCCCACAGGCTGGATCTTGCCAATTGTGGTTCTTTGTAGTTTAGAACATTCCTCTGCATTTCCTACAGTTGGATCTAGTGGTTTAACCACTCCCCAGGCAGATTTTCTTTTTTGTTTTTTCCTGTGGAAGGAGGTGCGGGGGAGCAAGATTATACCTTGGGTGGTAGGATGTTTTTCACCTGGTTATCTGTCTCCTGTTGCAATGTTAGTAGCTACTGGCATACAATACTTAGAGCCTGCCATTCATTAGAAGCAACAAAATTGTGCTATCACAGTTTTGTTATTCTTTCTTCATTTATTTGCTGGAATACTAAGGAAAAACTCTGGCTCTCTGCTACTTTTAGTAGTTTATTTATAGAGATCCACATACCATACATTCACCTATCTGAAACATACAAATTTCGTGGGGTTTAGTATATTCATAGAGTTGCACATCTATGACCATGGTCAATTTTAGAACACTTCATTAACCAATCCCCCCAAATCCTGTTCATCTTTGCTGTCACCCCATACACCTGGCAGTCCTAGGCAGTTACTAATTATCAATCTAATTTCTGTCTCTAGACTTAATGTTCTGGACATCTCAAATAATATGTGGTCACTTGTAAGTTATAACCAGGTTCTTTCACTTAGTATAATGTTTCCAGAGTCCATCAGTGTTGTAGCATGTATCAGAACTTTATTCCTTTTTATGACCAAATAATATTTCATTGTATGGATATGCTACATTTTGTTTATCCATTCATTAATTGATAGACATTCAGGTTACTTCCACTTTGGGGCTATTATGAATAATGCTGCTGTGAACATTTTTGTACCAGTTTCTGTGCGAGCATAATGTTTTCATTTTTCCTTGGATATTTACCTAGAAGTGGAATTGCTGGGTCAAATGGTAACTCTGTGTTTAACTGTTTAAGAAGTTGCCAGGCTTCTTTTCTGAATTAGCTACACAATTTGACATTCCCATCAGCAATATAAGAGGGTTCCAATTTTTCCAACATTGGTTATCTGTCTTTTTTTATTATAGCCTTCCGAATGGGTGTGAAGTGTCTTAATTGTGGTTGTGATTTGCACTTCCCTGATGACTAATGATGTTGAGCATCTTTTGATATGCCTGTTGGCTATTCATCTCTCTTAGGTGAACTATCTCTCTATCTCTATATCTGTGTGTGTGCTGTGTCACTCAGTCAGGTCTGATTCTTTGAGACCCCCTTGTAGCCTGCCAGACTCCTCTGTCCATGGGGTTCTGCAGGCAAGAATACTGGAGTGGATTGCCATTTCCTTCTCCAGGGGATCGTCCCAATCCAGGGGCCGAACCCCCATCTCCAGCTTCTGGAGATGGAGAAACTGTAGGCAGCTTCTTTACCACTGTGCCACCCGGGAAACCCTCATCTCTATATATCCTTGACCTGTGTTTAAATTGAGTATTTGTCTCTTTATTATTGAGTTGTAATAATTCTTTATGTGTTCTAGAGAAGTCCCTTATCAGAAGTATGCTTTGTAAGATTTTCTTCCACTCTGGGTTGTCTTTTTTGATATCTTGATGTTCTTTGAAGCATAAAGTTTACATTTTGATGATGCCCAGTTTGTTTTCTCTTTTGTTGCTTGCGCCTCTGGTGTCTTACCTAAGAAAGTTCTGCCTAATCCAAGGTCATGAAGATTTGCGTGTGTGTTTTATTCTGAGTTTTATAGTTTTAACTCTTACATTTAGGTCTTTGATTCATTTTCAGTTAATTTTTGTATATGCTGTCATCTACTCTTTGGTTTGTCTTTCCTGGTGGCTCAGTGGAAAGGAATCTGCCTGCAATGCAGGAGATGAGGGTTTGATTCCTGGGTCGGGAAGAACCCCTGGAGAAGTAAATGGCAGCCCATTCCAGTATTCTTGACTGGGAAATCCCATGGAGAAGGGAGCCTGGCAGGCTGCAGTCCACGGGGTTGCAAAAGAGTGGGACGCGTCTTAGTGACTAAACAACAGCAACTCTTTGGTTTCCTAGTGCTCCAGCTAAAGGCAGGATCAATGCTTGGCTTTTTTTTTCTATTTACTAACCATTTATCATAATAAGGTGTTGGTTCCCTAATCATCCTATAAAGTAGTAGTTTGGTAGAATTTTCTTGTCATCATGTATGCTTTAGATTTAATCAAGAGTTTGTATTATAATAAAAAATAATTGCATTTAAACAAATTTATGTACTCTGACACATATGTGTATGGTAAAGAGAGGAAAGTGATTTTGTTGTTTGGGTTTTTTTTTTTTAAATCTTGTTTCTTATCTACTGTCACCTCCTAAAATTTCATCTACCCTTTATCTTCCAGAAACATGCCAAAGGCCAGGATTTGTTTGATCAGATTGTGTATCACTTAGACCTGGTGGAAACAGATTACTTTGGCCTCCAGTTCCTCGACTCTGCCCAGGTTCCGGTAAGTATTCCTTTGATCCCTTACACGATGGACTGGGTAGTCACAGGTCTGCGATTACTAGAAATTGGTAGAGAAAGACAGGAGTAAAACTGCATTACTGTTGCGGTGAAGAGCCTTGGGATGGAGGTGCTGGCTGACCCCACCCCCGAGGTGTCCAGTATCTTGTTGCACGTGGGGATGTGCTAGGGAGACATTTCCAAGCACGAGGATGCAGTGTAGGCACATCTCTAGAGTAGGTAGAAAGAAATCTCATTATAAGAATTCTTCTGGGGATGCTGTGTGTATTTTTAACTAGCAGAAGAGGCTGTGCCACCCTCTTCTCATGGACTCTTGCCAGGTGTAGAGAGCAGGTGCTGGGAGCACAGCTGAATCGCAGCCAGGCTTAGTGGACTCTGGGGCCGGGTGGCCGAGCAGGTCTTGGCATCTCTCGAGAGCCATCTTGCAGGCTCCAGGAGGTTGTGTTTGGTCAGCAAAGACTTCCCTCACTTTGCCTGAGACAGAACTGTCCACAGTGGAGGTGCCTGAGTAAGTGAACTCAACACAGCTCAGAACCACTCTTTTATTTATTTTTATTTCTTTATCTATTTTATAACTGACCTACAATCCTATGTTAGTTCCTGTTACACAAGATGGTAGTTTGATATTTCTGTACATTTGTAAATGATCACCACAATAAGCCTATTTACAACCTGTTGCCACACAAAAATATTATATAGTTACTGACTATATTCTGCTTGCTGTACATTTCAGACTTGTGACTCATTTATTTTGCAACTACTGGATGTTTGTACTTCTTAATCACCTTCACCTATTTTTTTCTCCTTCCTTCCCTCCTGGCAACCACCTGTTTGTCCTCTGTATCTATAATTCTGTTTCTATTTTGTATTGTTTTTTCATTTGTTTCTTAGACTCCACACATAAGTGATATCATACCATATTTGTCTTTCACTGTCTGATTGATTTCACTTAGCATAATACCCTCTAGATCCATTCATGTTGTCACAAATGGCAAGATGTCATTATTTTTTATGGCTGAGTAGTATTCTGACGTGTATGTTTAGATACCACATCTTCTTGATTCATTCATCTATTGATGGGCACTTGGGTTGCTTGCATATCTTAGCTATTATAAATAATAGTGCAATGAGCGTAAGAGCACATACATCTTTTCTCATTAGTGTTTTTGTTTTCTCTGGATAAATATACAGGAGTGGAAGTGCTCGATCATACAGTAGTTCTGTTTTTAATTTTTTGAGGACTCTCCATCCTCTTTTCCATAGTGGCTGCATCAGTTTACATTCCCACCAATAAACAGTGAACGAGGGGTCCCTGTTCTCCACATCCTCGCCAATACTTGTTCTTGTTGTGTTTTTGATAATAGCCATTCTGACAGGTGTGAGGTGATGGGTCCCTCATTGTGGTTTAGATTTGCATTTTCCTGATAGTGATGTTGATCATCTTTTCATGTTTTCTGTTGGCGATCTGTGTGTCTTCTTTGGAAAAATGTCTATTCAGATTTTCTACCCATTTCTAAATAGGATAGTGTGGATATTTTTGATGTTGAGTTGTAGGAGATCTTCTTGTATTTTGGACATTAATCCCTTATCAGATATGTCGCTTGCAAAGATCTTATCCCATTCAGTAGGTGGTGTTTTTATTTTGCTGATAGTTATCTTTACGGTGTAAAAGCTTTTTAGTTTGGTATAGTTGCATTTATTTATTTTTACTTTTGTTTCCCTTGCCTAAGGAGACATATTAAAAAAAATACTACTAGGATTATTGTCGAAGAGCATACTACCTATGTTTTCTTCTGGAAGTTTTATGATTTCAGGTCTGATATTTAAGTCTTTAATCCATTTTGAATTTATTTTTGTATGTAGTATGAGATAGAAGTTGTTTGATTCTTCTACCTATAGCTGTACAGATCTCCCAACACCATTTATTGAAGAGGCTGTCTTTGCTACATTTTATATTCTTGCCTCCTTTGTTGTTGATTAATTGATGATATAAATGTGAGTTCATTTCTGGGCTCTCTGTTCCATTGAGCTATGTGTCTGTACTAGACTGTTTTGATTACTGTAGCTTGGTAGTATAGTTTGAAATCAAGGACTGTCATACTGTCAGCTTTAGTCTTTTAAAAAGCAAGAAAGACTTTTGGAAGAATGGAGTTTCCATTCCCAGTAGAATCTGGCTTTGGGTTTCAAAGAGAATTTATTCAGCAATCTAAAAGTATTTATTGAATGCTTGTTGTGCACTAGGCCCTGTTCTAAGCAGTGGATAATGCAGTGTATGTATGTAATACCTGCATAATATGACAGGTGGTAATAAGGGTTAAGAAAAATAAAGCAGAGTGAGGAGATAGAGGAAGGGGCAGTGCTATTTTAGACAGAAAGGGTGAGTTCTCTGCTAGGAGCTATTTGAACTGAGACCTGGAGCTCCTCCTGTATAGCTAAGCCTTTCTACCTGAAAGACACTTTTTAAATACTTCCTGGGGCTATGCATGATGATTGTAAGGAGGTACTCAGAGTCGATGCCTGGAAATTGGGTCTACCTGAGATGGATGTTGTGGTGCTCAGTCTGTGGTGATGGAGTGCAGCCAGGGCTTAAGTGTGCCTGGGTTACAGTGCCTGCTGGGCAGATGTGTCCCCCTGCGCCCACTGGGTGCCCCCTCTACACCACCAACTTCCTCCCCACCTCCAGGACCTCCTGCCTGCCTGCAGCCCACTCCCTTATCCCCTTGACTGTTGCCATGAGCATCCTGCTTCCTCCTTGAGTTCGTGGTCCTGATTCCTTCCCGTGAGCTGGAGACGCTCCCTTTGGCCCCCGAGGCTCAGGGAAGGGCAGACCCACCACCCCGTGTCCCTCCACTGTGTACTTCTGCTTCCTTAGGTTGGACCACTCAGTGCTGCACCCTCTGACCTCAGCATCCTCCTCCCATCCTTCAAGGCCTCAAGTGCCCATTTTCCTCCTCCGCAGGCAAACTCAGAACTCAAGTTGTTGATACCTCTAAATATTCCAGACCCGGTTTCCTCTCTCTGAAGTTTCGTTTGAGCAAACCTCACCCAAATGCACCTTGGGTCCTGTCACTGTCCATTCACTCCAAGATCCAGGATTCTGTTGTTTCTAATCCTGTGACCAGGATAAGATCCAGGATTCTCTTGTTTCTTACCCTCCTTCCAGTTCCTCCGCATGTGGCCTTGGCCCTCAACACCCCCTTCTTGCCCTGGTCTTCCTCCCTGCCTGGTCAAGCCTCAGGCATGTCCTTTGTGCCCCCATCTGCCCTTTAAGATCCAGGATTCTCTTGTTTCTTACCCTCCTTCCAGTTCCTCCGCATGTGGCCTTGGCCCTCAACACCCCCTTCTTGCCCTGGTCTTCCTCCCCGCCTGGTCAAGCCTCAGGCATGTCCTTTGTGCCCCCATCTGCCCTTTGATTCTCCTGCCCCCGTGACTGTCCGCTGACCCCCCTTCAACACGCATGCAGGCCCATCTGCTTCCTCTGCTTCTCCAGGACTGCCAGGCATTGCTGGAGAGCCATGGGCTGTGCCTTCTGGTCCAAGCACAGATCACAGGTTCAGTGAACTCCTAGCCCCGAGCTGTTCCTGGAGCCTCATGAACCCCCAGTGGGCCCTGAAGTGCCCCAGGGCTCCCCTTCTGAGTCTGCACCACAGACCTCTAGCCCAGTCTCCATGGAGACTGTTCTCACGGGTGGCCTCACCTCCAGCTGAGAAGACCGAGGTCATCCAGCCCGAATGCCTTGAGTTTTCTCCCCTGCCCCTCAGAGTGTCCCCTTCTCTCTGTCCATTCTTTTTACTGCTTTCTCTTAAGGGACTTTGCCTGTTTCTCCAGCGTTTATACACCTGCATCCTGTTGTCCTTTTGTATATGGTGTTTTTGGCTTCAGATTGTCTGTGGCCCCGGACTGAGTTCAGGCCCGAACCTTGCTCCTGGTCTGATGGGCTTTAGCTAAGCCCCCTTCTCTCCCTTGGCCTCGGTATCCTCATCTGTAAAATGGGTTTGTTGGACCAAGAGCCCTTCTGGTTTTAATGTCCCGTGATTCTGAGACTAAAGGGGAGACAGAGTACTGTCCCTCACATCTCCTCTAGTCAGAAGGGAGAAGACACCCATCTTTCTGCCGTGAGAGCCAAGTACCTGCTGCCCTGGTGGCGTGTCCTTAACCCCAGGTGACCACTCTCTGAAAACCATGGAGGTGACTCCATCATGAAAGTCTTTGCTGTGAGCCTCTGCTCACTTGGCTGCTAGGCATTCCCGCCTGCCGGTGATCAGGCCCCGTGCGGCGGGAGGGATGTTCACAGCGGGATCCAGGCATCCTTCCCAGGTCATACACCTGCAGGAGCCCAGACTCTGAAGGTGCTAAAGCCTTGCCAGCCTGCAGCTCTGTGAACATGGCGTGCTTCTCTGCCCTGCAAGAGCAGGTGCAGGGCCATTATCTGCCTGACTCTGAGGATCTGAGCCATGTGGAGCAGCGGGAGCTCCCAGCCCCCTTCTTCTCATCAGTCTGCCTTCCAGTTGGGGCTCATTGCAGGCTAGGCTCTGGTGATGTGTTGTTGTCTAGTCACTTTGCTTATGCTGGTACAACTCCTGGAATGCCCTTTCTCATCCCATTTAAGAGACTTCCCTGCTGGGTCAGATGGTAAAGCGTCTGTCTACAATGCAGGAGGCCTGGGTTTGATCCCTGGGTGGGGAAAATCTCCTGGAGAAGGAAATGGCAACCCACTCCAGTATTCTTGCCTGGAAAATCCCATAGACAGGAGCCTGGTAGGCTACAGTCCATGGGGTCACAGAGTCAGACACGACTGAGCGACTTCTCTTTCACTTACACTTCATCCCGTTTAACTTCTGGTCATCCTTCAAGACCAACTCTGATGACAGCCCTTCATGCAGCATGCCCTGAACTCCCAAAGTGTTTTTCCTCCTCTGTGTAAACCTGAGTTTATTTCACCCTCCCTGGCAGTTTGCTCATTTGGCCTCTAGATCATTATTT